CCTTGGAGCCTTCCTGTGGTTCTGGGAGGATGCCAGGGTCCTGAGTCTGGAAGCTATAGGCTGGTCTTTTTACAGCTCCTCTCAGCAACGATGAAGTCAGCTCACCTCTGCGTCCTCAGGCGGGGGGCTTCAACCTCTCCACTTCCCTTTTAACAGAAGCAGCAGCAGAAAGAAGCTCTCCTTCTCTTCTTCCACCGCACGGCGGAGGCCAAAATCCCGTCTGTCATGTAAGTGGCCACTCAGGGTGGACCCCTCTCTCTCTCTCTCTCTCTCTCTCTCTGTCTGCTTGAAAAACAGATACCTATTATCTCAGCTGCCAGAGCGGTTTAGCCTGCTGTGTAAGAAACCTGCGCAGTGAGATTAGATTAGAGATGCCTTGAAAATACAAAGCAAACATTAAAAAATGGGCCGGTTCTTTAGCAGAAAGGCTTCTCTTGGAGTCTGAGCGGAAGGGGCAGCCACGCAGCCACTTCAGATGTTGTCCTCTTTCCGTGCTGTCTCCTAAAGTGACCAGTTCAAGTCTTAGAGTCATTCGCTAACTTTATACAAGTCTCGCTTGCCTTTCAAGAGGAACAGCTCACTCGTGTTCAGATGTCCGTATCAGGTGATTCCATCCACCTGCATTTTGCTTAGTTTTCTCCTTGTGGAACATGCCAGGTGCAAGTGATTCTGCTGCGATGACCGTGCATTTTGTGTGGGGTGAGCGAGCACACCAGAACAGACCCAGAGCCTGCCCCAGGTCTCACCGCCCCGCTGGCCTCTCTCTCTGCCCCAGTTATCCAAATCTAAGATTCCTCCCAGAGACACTGCTGGGCCGTACCATCTTTCCTTCTCCCTCTGGGCTCTGCCCTTCCCATTGGTTACCCTGTGAGAAGTGGCACAGTTAGGTGGGTGGTGTGAACAGACCGGCCACTCTGTGGGAGAGAGATGAGGCAGTCTGTGTCCATAAAGACTGACGGCCTTGGAAGCCACCCTCCAGAGCAGTTCTCTTCTCTCCGCCAGGGTTGCCGGGCCCCACAGCAGTGGGCTTAGTTTGGATTTGTGTTTATTAAAGACCAGTTGTGGTTGGTACAGCCTGGAAACTTCTCTCATGGAAACTAGTCTGCACTGCGCCTGCCGAGGCACCTGCTCCTCAGGTGCTGTGCAGTCACAGACGGCCAGGGTGTGACCTACGCGATGCCGGTCTCCAGCGCACCTCTCTCGGGACACCAGCACTGTACAGTGCCTGGGAGTTTCCAAACACCTTTGCCTCTGCTCATGAAGCTCGCATTTCCAGCATCCTTGTGAGATGTTTTAGAAATTCCGTAGCTGTGGAGTCCACGCCGATTGATCCACAGCGACCCCTCGTGTGCCGGAGTAGGCTTTCAGCAGTGGGTCACCAGGCCTGTCTTCCCAGGTGCCTCGATATGGGCTCGAACTTCCAGCCTTTCGGTTTGCAGCCAAGTGCGTTCACTGCCTGCACCACTCAAAAACAATCAAATAAGTGTCCTGGACCCATTTTTTAGAAACTTGAGTACATCCCATATCATCTCTGGATCTAAGAGTCACTAAGAGTTTGCCTGGGATTTAATAAAAATTAAGAGTGCGGATCTTAAATCTCCCAGTTTCTTCTGCTAGCTTTCCTTTCTTTTGTTATTTCTTCTTTTTATCCTTCAACATCTTTGGATGTAGAATCCAAGGTTATTTTGGCCAATTTCTCCAGCCCAGTCACTTAGGGATGCGGGGCCGGGTGAAGCGTGGTAAAGCAGCAGAAGCAGCCCAGGCTCAAAGGGCAGAGCAGCACTGGGACAATGGGGACCCGTGGAGTTTATGATTCACCGCCAACTCCTTTTGTGGCCTTACGACTTTTTGATGCTGTGATAATGTAAACTTTCTTGCTGATGTCATGACAAATTTTATGTCCCTCAGACTAATTAAAGCAGATTCTATTAGTTCACAAATTGAACTCTATTTGGGTACCCTGGCTGGTCAAAGCACTGCTTACAAATAATGCTAAGGTTTTGGAGGGCAGTCCACGTACCTGACACCACCTGCCTTGCCTGTAATATGGGGCTGAGTGAGCACCGTGTCTTTTCAGGGAGCTCACCTGTCTACTTGCTCTTGTTGTAGAGGTACCTGGACCTGGCTTCGCCCTCCTGTAGGATTAGGACCCTCCGCAGGGCGCTTACCTTGGGGAAACTTGAGAGGGTGTGCTAACTGGGTGACTCTCAGTCCTATAACCCCCCAGGGCTGGGGCCAAGCATCCTGGCAAGGCGATGGAGAAAGCCGTGGTTGGAGGGGGGTGGTTCATTCAAAGGAGAATGAAGACAAGTTGAGCGAGATCTTTCCGTTTGTATTCCTTTAGCTCAGGAAGAAAAAAAAAGCAGTCACCACTGACTAGCCCATTGGCCCATTTGAGGTGTGACGTGGACAGGAAGCAGTTTTTCCTGAACACCAGGCATTCCCTGAAGGCCTCGTATTACATATGTCCCAACATTCAGCTTCCAGAAATGTGTTTACTGTCAAACCTCCCATAACCCCCTGCTTCCAAAAAACCAAACTCATTGCCATCCAGTCATTTCTGACTCATTCATAATGGCTCCCCTGGGAGTTGTCGAGACACTAAGTCTTTATGGGAGTAGAAAGCCTCATTCTCCTTCAGAGTGTCTGGTTTCGAACTGCTGACCTTGAGGCTAAGCAGCCCAACTCATAACCTCTTCACCACCAGCGCTCCCCACCACCTACCTGCTTCGGAGTTTTTAAATCTGCAGCAGACCCTACAATTTGTTAAAACACACATTAAAGTAATGACAACAGAGGTGAAAACTATTGACTATCTTCTATGGCCCAGTCGTGTTGTAGTAAGTTACCAGATACACACACAATATAAGGATACTTCACTTTATTTGTATATGTGAATTGCCTAACAAGCTTAAAAGAAAGAAATCCCTTTGCCTCTACTCATGTAGCAGAAGGTGGTGGCCCCGGGGCTCCTAATTTCACTTCTTCTATTGACATGGCCTGCTATGAGGGGAGGGGAGAACTCAGCTCCCAGAGGAGGGAGTGAGCGGCTGGAGGGCAGGCACCCTGAGGCTGTCTACTACAGACACAGTCCTCTTTCAGTCGTTCACAGCAAACGGATGACTGTGTCTAAGAGCCCTGGTGGCATCATAGCTTACAAGTTGGGCTGTGAACTTCAAAGTCAGTGGTTCAAACCCACCAGCCACTTCTCAGGAGAAAGATGAGCACCCATCAAGATTGACAGCTTCAGGAATTCACAAGGACAGATCTAGTGTGCTATAGGGTTGCTATGAGTCAGAATTGACTTGATGGCTGTGTGTTCCGATGAGAATGCGCGTTTACATTATCTTACTGTCTTTGTCGATTGCAGCGAGTATATCCTGGACTTGCTGGAAAGCGGCAAAGAGAAGTTTCTAGTGTTTGCACACCATAAAGTGGTTTTGGATGCAATTACGAATGAGCTGGAAAGGAAGGTAAGTTCCCTTTGAAATTCAGAATGCTTCCATCCTGAGTGTGTGCCCTCTCAGCAGGCTGAGGGCAGTTCCCAGCAAAGCAGTAAAGAAGACAGCTTATTCAACACACACACGTACACGCACGCACGCACGCGCGCACAGACATCTCCAAGCATGGCCTTGCCCAGTTACTGGAGAGGTTCATAGTCACGTCTTATCAAATACTAGGTCTTAACAAATTGCTCTCCAAGGTGGTGGTTTAAAACCATAATCCCACTGTATTAGTCTGGGTACTTTGGAGAAACAAATCCACAGCAACTCATGTATAAGAGAGAGTTTTATGTAAAGAAAATGTGCATCACGAAAACATTCCAACCCAATGCTGCCCAAGCCCACAAGTCCAACATTAACCCATTAAACCAACACCAGTCCACAAAGTCCTCCACCTCACAAAACAGAGGCAATGATGCCGACTGCAGGAGGAAAGCTGAGTCAGTGAACGAATAAGCATCTCAGCACTAGCAGGGGTCTCCACACGGCTGCTCCAGCACCCAGGGCTGCATCGGGATAGGTCCATGTGGCTTCTCCTTGGAGATGTCTTGTAGGAAGTCAATCTTGCAAGCTGAAGCAGGGAACTGCTAAGGCAGCCGCACCCTGGTGTGACCATCACAAAGCAAGAGACCGGAGAACTAGAAAGGCGAGGCTCACTACCCATGTATCCCTCCGCCTTTCAATTAGCCCCACATGTGATTATCGGCCAGGTTGGCACAATTAACTAACTCACCCACCAACAACAGCTAGGGCTTCTGTCTGTCCATCAGTAGTTGGTATTGCCACACTTGTTTTGACCATCCGGTGACAAGAACTGTTCTCTCATCCATATTTTAATTTAATTTCCCCTGGCTGCCAGTGAGCTGTGTATCTTTTATGTTGTCTGTGATTCGTGCCTTGTATGACTGCTTTAGGCAATCTTTCCATCCCGTTTTCCTTCTGAAAATATTAGCTCTTTAATCTTCAAACTACCTGGGGTTGAGTGTTCTGTATGATGCGATACAGGAAGCCAGCAAGTAGACTTAAAAGCTGTAAGCCCTACACACACAAAAATCCAGAGGTAGCACTCTTTTTTTTAAAATTAAAAGATCATTTTATTGGGGACTCTTACAGCTCCTAGAACAATTGTATCAAACTTATTTGTACATATGTTGCCATCATTATTTTAGAAACATTTACTTTCTATTTGAGCTCTTGGTGTTAGCCCCTCTTTTTTCCCACCCTCATGACCCCTTGATAAATTATAAATTATTACCTTCATATCTTACACTGCCTGCTGTTTCCCTTCCCCCACAGTTTCTGTTGTTCGCCCCCTGGCGGGGTGGTGGTGGTTATGTTTCGATCATTGCAATTGGTTCCCCCTTCCGCCCCTCTACTCCCCACCTTGCTCCTACCCTCCTGGTATCACTACTCCCATTCCTGTTCCTAGATTCCATGTATCGTGAGCTCTTATGTCTTATCTATACCTGTGCACATGCTCTGGTCTAACCTGCAGTGAAAGGCAGGACTGGGGAGGTGAGGGAGCCTCAGGGAACCAGAGGAATATTGTGTGTTTCATCGGTGCTATACTGCACCCTCGTTGACTCATCCCCTCCTTGTGACCGTTCTGTGAAGGGATGTCCCATTGTCTACAGATGGGTTTGGGGTCTTTGTTCCAACCCCCCTTGTTCTCAACAATATGGGTTTTGTTTGTTTGTTTGCTTTGGGGCTTCTGGTGCCTGTTACCTGATCCCATGTGCACCCCATGATCACACAGGGTGGTGTGCTTCTTCCATGTGGGCTTGTTCCTTCTCTGCTAGATGGCCGTTTGTTTAACTTCAAGCCTTTAAGACCCCCGATGCCCTATATTTTGCTAGCCGGGCCCCATCAGCTTTCTTCACATTTGTTTATGCACATTTGCTTGTTTAGTCTTTAGCAATCGATTGGTAGCTCTCCTTTTTAAGAAACCCAAGACAATTCATTGAAAAACCATTGAAAGTGTTAAATGTTCAAGAAGGTGCCTGGATTCCAAATAAATACACAAAAATGTAATACACTGTTATGTGCTGACAACCACAAGTTAGTAGATGCCGTGGGGGGGGGGGTGTCAAGTTCACTGAGACACCAAAACAGCACAAAGTACTAACACGATTCCCCTCAAGGAGTGAGCTCGTGAGGAGTGAACCAAAAAGAAGAGACATATGCCATTCTCCTCTGCGAAAGGCTGAGAAGTAGAGAAAACGTCAGGCCTCCCAAATTAACTTGTAGGGTCAGTTCACTTCTTATTAGCATTCCAATTGGATTTTTAAAGAGGGCGTTCTTATTCCAGAAGGAGCCGCAAACGCTGCGCGCAGGAGCTAGCATCCTCAACTTTGGAACAGAACTGTTTCTGAGGACTCATCCCTGCAGACGTTAGCATCTGTCACAAAGCATCCGTAATGGACACTGAACCATGCCAGTCTGGAGTGGGCTCATTGGCTGAAGTAATTGGGAGAAAAACTTAAAACTACACTACTTCTGATCTTGAATTCCAGAGAAAGCAGAGATCCTTGCGTCTGAAATGCTAGGAGGAATTATAGACGAGCCTGTTGGTTGCTGGCAGGAGAATGACTTTCAACACACTGAGGGCAAGGTCAGGGGGAGGAGCCAATGCCTGCGACCTGAAAGCGCAGACCCAGCTGTCTCACACTTGCACGGTGCTCACATCAATGTACTCGTGAACATATGGTACAGTTTTGCGGGTGGGGCAGTTCGGCAGCATCTTACTGTGCACGCTCATTTTCTAGGCTTCCACTAGAAATCAGGGCCCTGGGCCGACAGATGTTATGTACAGGAAGATTAGTTATGCTCTTATTTGTGATATTGAATAGTTAAGAATCAAATATCCACCAGTTGGTGTATGGTTAGATAAATTATACTTCATTCAGCCATAATAGGTGTTAATGTAGATGAAAGGGCTCTTTACACCCTTTAAGTAAGTGCTGGAGGAAAAGCTAAAATTGAAGTTCCTGGTATATGGTTGGGTATACGTAGGGGAGGCTTCAAAAAGTTCATGGAAAACTTCCATTATCGTTTCGCTCCATTTTTCCATGAACTTTCTAAAGTCCCTTTGTACTGGTCTGGAAAACTGCCCCAGTACATTTTTTTAAAAGCTACATGCATGATCTTCTACAAGGGTGACACATGGAAAACCGTCGGAGTCACATGTACCCAGAGCATGAACAGTGTTCTGCCTAAGCCATTCTCATCACCTTGTTTATCTCTCGATATTTTCATAAAGAGGATGTCTTATTTTTTCATCAGAAGAATGAAAGGCATCTAAAAATACACAGGAACAGACACATGAAAAGGCGCTGAAGGAAATAACCTGGCACGCCTGTTAGCAGCAGACTGTGGGACATGGAAACAATAGCCTTCCCTACCTGGGGGAAATGAGCAGAGTGGGTGAAGAGGTCGTTCATCACAGAAATAACGCCAGCAGTCAGCCAGATAGGAAAAAATACTCAGCTCCAGTCTTATGCAAGTGAAGGGAACAAAATAAGATCCTGTTTTTTAATAAAAGCCTGTCAGATTTGCAGAGGGCTTTGAGAGGTGTGGTGTTGGCTGCTGAGAAAGGCACAGGGGGCCAGACTTGCTCAGACAGGACTTCTGAGAAAGCAGCGTGGTGATCACCGCCCGCCGCCATTGAGTGGATTCCAACTCACAGAGGCTCTGGGAAGGGTTCCTGGGGCCGTAAATCTTTCTGGAAGCAGGCAGCCTCATCTTCTACCCTCAGAGTCGCTGGAAGGTTTGAACCTCTGAGCTTGTGGTTGGTAGTATTATCTGACAGTGATTGTGGCATTTAGGTGACATTGGGTTCCAACTCATAGTGACCTTGGAATTGCTTGATAGTTTTACAACCTGGATGAATCTCCAGGAGATTTTCCAGAATGGAAAAAGCCAGTTTTCCAGAAGCATACGTATTATATGATTCTGTTTCTGTAAAACTTTAGAGGGAGCCCAGGTGTGGTGGTGGTTATACATTGGGCTGCTAACCATAAGGACAGCAGTTCGAGACCACCACCTGCCCCACGGGAGAAAGACAAGGCTTTCGACTCTTAAAGCGTGACAGTCTCGGACACCCGCAGGGGCAGTGCCACTCGTCCCAGTAGGGCCACCCTGAGTAGCCCCGAATTTGCTGGCAGTGAGTTTGGTGCGGTGTCCTGTAGGATGGGAACAGGTTCGGGGTTGGCGGGCCTGCAGTGGGGGTGGGGTGGAGGAGGAGCTGGGAGGTGGGCGTGGTCATAGAGGGACCTCACGGGGTTCCTGTGGCGTGGGATAGAGACGTGGAAACCTCAGGCACTCGCTCCTGCATTCGAGTGGATTCCGACCCATAGCGACCCTAGATAGGACAGGGTAGAACCGGCCCTGTGAGGGTTTCCCAGACTAGCTCTTTATGGGAGTAGCAAAGCTTGTCTTTCTCCAGAGGAGCAGCTGATGATTTCGAACTGAGTAGCCAGCGCCTAACCTCTGGGCCCCCAGGATCCTTTGAAAGCTTCTGTGGGGGATGGAAATGGAATTCGCGCGTGCGCACACGCCCGCACCAGGAAACCTGGGATAAAGGAGTCCCGGTAACCACCCCGGGGAGCACTTACTCCCGTAAAGAATGCAGGCTAGAAAACCCTCTGGGACCACGATGAGCCCCAATCGCCTCTGTGACACACAACAGCACCCGGCTTACGTGTGGGTCGGCCGGTGTCCACCGGGTCCTAGGATTGAGCAGGGTGATCCGCCGGGGAGCCTGGCGAGCACGCGGCCGTCGCTGAGGCTTCCCCGGGCAAGTGCAGCGACCTTCGCACACATTTTAATTATCAAGGCCTGAGCGGCGCTGGAAAGGCAGCTGGCGGAGCTGGGCCCCAGGGGACCTAGGTGCTGCCCCGTTTGGAGGGGGACTCCCGGCCGCAGCCCCTCCAACCGGGTTTTGTCCCCTGGTCGCGCAGCACGTGCAGCACATCCGCATCGACGGCGCCACCTCCTCCGCGGACCGCGAGCAGCTGTGTCAGCACTTCCAGCTGTCCGAGAGGCACGCCGTGGCCGTGCTGTCCATCACCGCGGCCAACATGGGCCTCACCTTCTCCTCGGCCGACCTGGTGGTGTTCGCCGAGCTGTTCTGGAACCCAGGGGTAAGGGGCGCGCACCCGGGTGAAAGGACACGGCTTTCAGTGGGAAGATGGGGGTCCAGCGGCTTCCCTTCCCTCGCTCCGGCCCTGTAAGCCTCGAGCGCGAGCCCACGCACCCCACCCAGCCGGCCTGGCTTGATTTACGCACCGGCACGTCTACAGGCTAGTCAATGGGTCTTCCCAGTGACCTGCTAGATAGTGGGATGACGGACGCCATTTAGTTATAGGAAAAGCCTGTTTTAGAAGAAGCTGAGACTCTCTCAGGGTGTGAGGAAGCTGAGGCCCAGTGAGCTGAGTGGTGAGCCCAGGACCCCATGGCTATCCCTTAGGGGAGCAGTTATGGCTGCCCCCCAGGCCTCAGAAACTCCAGCAACCAAGGAGCTGCTTCAGTGGACAGGAGGACTGGGGGGTGGGGGAGGTGTCCCCAGGCATTACCATTGTGTCCTGGGGCCTGAGGGTGCTGACAGGAGACAGGAGGTGTCCACTGGAGCTCAGAAAGCAGGCGCTCCCCTCTAGTGCCCTGACAGGCTGTGCTTTCATGGGGTACGCACCCGTGGGTGCTGTAGCAGAGGTGGACTTGGAGGCTGTGAGGCTCCCTTCAGCAGAAGCCATGCTGGTTGGCTGCGCTTCTCTATCATGAGACTTAGCACCGCATGCAGAAAACCACCCTCCCTGCTCACTGATAGGTAGGAGATGGGAATCCATCCAAAGGTGACACAGAAGAAAGGCCTGGTACTAGCCTTCCTAAAGAGTGGGCTCTGCTCCATGGCGGGTGGGTTTTCTTTTTACCCTCTGTTGTCTGTGGCCCCTCCAGGGTGCTTTGTTTTGTTTGGATCTGGAAGCTGGCTGGTGTTTCATTTCCCAGTGTGCAGGCTTTCCCTCGCCTGCCCTCCCTATGGCCTGATGGGGCCTCCACTTGCCCGCGTGGCACCCCTAGCGCAGCGCCCAGGGCACAAAACCCACTCACATTGCCTGGCTCCTGACCCTATTGCCCCAGGCCGGGACTCGTGGGGCTCTCAAATTTGTTACAATGGCAGATGACTTGGTGTGGCAATGAGCCGCTTTGAGAAGGGGTCGTGGGAGGTTGGAGCTGGCTCAGGCCTTCACCGACATGCCTCTGCTCCCGGGACTCACAGGTGCTGATCCAGGCCGAGGACCGGGTGCACCGCATTGGACAGACAAGCTCCGTGGGCATTCACTATCTCGTGGCCAAAGGCACGGCAGATGACTACCTTTGGTATGGCCTGGGGGGCCAGGGGCAGGGGGTGGGTGGGCAGGGATCCAGCAGAGGGTGACCCTGAAGACGTCTTGCCTTTGCTCGCTACACGCTTCTGCTGAGCTCACCGGGGGCCACGAGAAGTCCCCTCAGCAAGGCCCCCACCTCACCACAGCCATGTGTGGCTGCTTCACCAACCTTCACTGGGGGCCTGCGTGGAAGGAAGACTTGTGGGAGTGAGGGTAGGGGGCCTGACGGGGGTCCTGCTTGTGGAACACTGCCCTTGGCCCTGAGGGTCCTTGTACAGGCTGACCGACACGCTCCTTTTCTCCCTGGGAAGATGTGTGGGTCTGAGCACGCAGCCCACCCAGCCCATTTGGGCCATGAGCAGAGCTGGGGCCAAATATCCGACCCTGGGGGTTCATGCCTGTCATCTCAGCAAGCATTTCCCAAAATCCCCTCCCAAGTCCCATTTTTCCCCTCTGCGATAGGAGGTTCCTGGGCTGTCGCACTCTTTCCCACCCCCCACTCCGTCTGCATTCCCTGCCATCCAACTGAGGCTTCTGACCGTGGCGAGGCTGTGAGTCGCCCCCACGCCTCCCGTGTCAGTGGTGGCGCCCACACTGGGCAGATCACACTGCCATGAGGACGAGTTGGCTTCCTGCACACCTCCCACATGAAAGATTTTTGAGCCTGGTGACGATGGGAGTCCTAACAGCTGGGAGGGGCTGACATCTCCGGGCCGCCTGGGAATGCCAAGACGGGGAACAGTGACTCTTCACACCGCTCGTTCTCCCCGCCAGGCCCCTGATACAGGAGAAGATCAACGTTCTGAGTGAGGCCGGCCTGTCCGAGACCAGTTTCTCCGACATAGCAGAAACCACCGATTACTTCTACAAGGTAACACTGGCGTGTGATGCGCTTGCCACAGTGTGGGGGTGGGACCCTGGTCTACCAAACCCTTGAGTTCCACGTGGGAAGATGGGACTCTAGTCCCAGGACCTCCCCCAGCTCCGGAGTGGAGTGTTACAGGCCAGCTGCCCTGCTTTGTCCAGCCCGGCAGGCATCTCGGTGTGTGGAGTGGTGGTGTCCACTCCCCCATTGCTGCCATCCCAGCAGCACCCAGCAGGAGGATTTCCACAGAGATGCGGCCGCAGCACTGAATGCGGAGTGCTCCAAGTAGGGTGTTGCTTTTAGGTACCATTTTAACCCCTCTGTGGTGTTACTTTGTTTCGGTCTTTCCATTTTATAGAGAGGTAAACTGAGATTAAGCTCTGGGTGGACTCAAAGAGTTAATGCATGGGCTACAAATTGAAGGGCTGAAGGTGTGAGTCTGTCTAAGGTGCCTTGGGAGAAAGGCCTGGCCACCTTCTGCTGAAAAAACAGCCCTAAATTAGAATCTCGGTGGCTTGCAGTTCAGCCCGGACACACACGGGGGCGCGATGAGCCAGAGTTGAGACTCTACTGGAGTTGTGGAGTTTTCTGACTCCATAAAAGCTCTCACTCCAGAGAAGCTACTTTGGGGTTTGATGTGGTTTGGTTTGGGTTTTAAAACTGACACAGAGCAGAGCAAGGATCAAGACGTGCGCATAGTTCCATAGTTGTGGAACGCCAGCTCCTGGGAGCAGGCGTCCAGACTCAGCTGGACAGTCCTCCTGGGACAGCAGCCTCCTATTCCTAGGCCGAGTGTGAGGCTGGCAGGCTGGTGGAGGTGCCGGGAGGCAGGCCTCTGTGTCCTGTGGAGAGGACCGCCCGCACCCTCCAGGCCAGCCTGTGCCTCAGCACGCCAGCCACAGTCTTTTCCTCCCTGGGGTTCAAGCGATGTGATGAAGAGCAAGGGCCTCCCAGCCTTTTTCCAGCTCCGGTGGTGGACCAGAGGCACTGCCGGCTGGGGGAAGACAGGGGGTTAAGGGAAGTGTCTTAATTCTATTGGTTGGCCTGAGCTCTGAGCTGCACCCAAAAGGGTAGTCTTCAGGGAGTGAATAAGGGTCTGGCCATGAATGAAGCCAACAAGACCTTGCAGGTGACTGTGAGACTGCAGAGCCTGGGGACTGGGTGTGTCAGTCATTTACATCAGCACAGAAAACCTGCCCTTCCTGAGGCGGTCACGGGGTAAATCAGGCTTGATGGATCCTCACTGTAAAATGTCAGTCTACGTTATTATCCCTTGAGGTACAGCTATGTATGAGCCGAGTTTAAAGGATTCTTCTTTTCAAGCTTCCCAAAGAAGCCTCCTTCAGCTGACTGGTAGATCTGGTTCCACCCCCATGTTCATCTCTGTCCTCGAGAGAACAAGAGCCTGCTTTTTAAAGGGTGCTCACTGAAGGCATATCCGTGTTGGCCCTGTCCCCTAGTTACTCTGAATTAGTGAAGTTTCTGCTTCGAGGACAAGCGCCATGTCATATGAATGCAGCTCGTGAATATTTATTTTGCTTAAGAGCCACATCAGTTTAGTTTATTTTAATTAAAAGAGGGCTGAGCATTTATCAGCTTTCAGAAGAAGAACATAGGGATCAAAAGTAAAGGCTGCGGTGTCAAATAAGACCACCTGTCTTCTGAGGGGAAATGGAATTCTCATCTCATCTTGCAGCTTGCTGTCTGTCAGCCAGCCATCAGTGTGGCTGTCCCCGCAGTCGGCTGCACTGCTTCCCTCTGGAACAGACTGCCTGGTGGGGCAGCTTTTCCTTGGCATTGTTCAGAGGGAACCTGAGGAGGATGCTCCTGGCTGGGGGGGTGGGGGTGGCCTTGACCTTTGCTACCAATACCATGAGGGACGGCAGGGCCTAAGTGAATCATCTGCACTCCTTGCATGATGTATGCCAGGATCAGTTTTCCCGGAGTTCCCTTCACGGTGTGGAGCGATTCTATGAAGCAGTAGTTAGAAAGTCGTGACCTTCTTGGAAAGGAAACCTTGGTGGAGTAGTGGGCTGCATGTTGGGCTGCTGGCCACAAGGTCGCTAGTTCAAACCCACCCAGCAGGAATCCTGGGGGCGGGGGGAGCCTATGTATTTACTCTTATAAAAATCACCATCTAGGAAACCCCCATGGGACAGTTCCTTGGCCTTCATGGTCTCCGAGCCAGAATCAATCCTAGCCACAACAACAGGCTCTGAAAAGTCAGGAAGACGCGCCTGGTTGAAGAAGCAGACAGCACACGCATGCTGTCGGGTGTCTTCTAACTCCTCGTGACCCGTGGAGCAGAGTAGAGCTGCCCCACAGGGTTCCCAAGGTTGACATCTGTACAGAAGCAGGCAGCCACATTCCCCCCATCAAGCGGCTGGTAGGTTCAAACTGCTTACTTATCGGTTGGCAGCTGAGTGCTTTAGCCACTGTGTTACCAGGATTCCGAGGTAGACATGGAGCCTGATGACAGGACAGAGGACATCGTGCTAAGGGGCAGAGTGGAGAAACCCTCTTGTCGACCAAAGACCTGCCAGCTGTTTGTGGTGGGAAGAGGCCAACAGTGGCAAGTCACATTCAACTACTGCAAACTGAGAGCCCTGATGGCACTGTGGGCTAGACAGTGGGCTGTTAATTGCGAGGTTGGTGGTTCAAATCCATCAACCGCTCTGAGGAAGAAGGACGAGACTGTCTGCTCCTATAAAGTTTTATTGTCTCAGAAACCGTAAGCAGCAAAGTCAAAAGCAGTGGGTTTTTGGTTATTGCTGCTTGATCCAGGTGCCGTGGCCCCCATCAAGGAGGTGATGTGATGTATAGGCTGAACCCGTGGCAGGTAGGAACTCGGTGCAGTTTGATGTGTGGGATGTAGTCGGGATGCCTCAGTCATTTAAGCCCAGGAGACTCTCAGGAGGCTGCCACACTGGTCAAATCAGCGGGCCTGTACGAGGAGCCTGGCTTGGGGGGTGGGAGTGTGGGGGGAGAGGGTTTGGCTGCGGGCGACTTTAGTTATAGGGAGTTGTGGGCTGTCAGTGGAGATGCTGGAAGTTTACCACAAGGTGGGGGTGGTCAGGGTTGGGAAGCTAGGTTTAGGAGTGCTCAGGAGAGGGGTGAAGATGAGCCCATCTTGTATCTTGGGTAGAATTATGGGACATGGTTTCAACACTATACCAGCCGTCAGCCATGCACCGCTGCAGTGGGTAGGCCGATTAGCTCCCCTGAAACGTTAAGGTGGTCAGGAGTAAGCACGAGTCAGTCCAGCCTGGCTTGTGTAGAGAAACCAAACAAGTGGACACGGATAGATATAAAAAGAGCTTCGTATCAAGAAATGAATTTATATCAAGAAGGCATCCCAGCCCAACCCAAGTCTAGGGGTCCCATGCTAGCCGGGGCCATTTTCAGGCTCGGGTAGCAGCAGGCCGATGAGGTTGCCTGGAGGCAGACACAGAGCCCCAGCAAGGAGGTAGGTAGACAAAGGGCCGGAGAGGGAGGGAGGGAGAAGTTCCCAGCGTCTCCCTTATAAAAAGGTTACACCCCCAAGAAGGCCTCTCCAGGCTACCCGCCCCCACCTCCCCAACAGTACCATCAAGTTGACATAAAATCCAGCTGCCACAACAGGCGTTGAATTTCTCATTGTGCTGTGTATGTATATATACATACATACATAAATATTTTTTTAATTAGCCATTCTGTTTCTCAGGTGTAAACCATAGCCCAACCTACAAAGTGGGGTCAATTATAGTTTAACCCCTTGTTGGAGAAAGGCTCTGGGGGAAGTGAGATCGTAGGAACTATGTATGTCAGTATTGAAATAGCCATTTGGAAAGTTAGGAGCCAGGAGGCATTTCCATCTAACGTGTGCCGATCTGATCACATTCTTCCTTGCTACGCATTGCCAGTTCTTGTTCCCTTAGCCCAGGGAGAAGGGGAGAAGTCAGGGCGTCGACCGGCCGTGCACCTTGTGATCTCATAAAGAGCCATCTTAAGTAATAATAAATAGATGAAGAGCCATCTTCTAGGGACCAGACTGCCAGCAGCTACTCGGAAGGCTAACAGAGCAACTTTTGGGGGCAGCGAGCTGGCGCCAATGGAGGAGGGATGATCGGAAAGGGGAGAGAGCAGGCGCACAAGTTGCAGACTGGAATCGGTGCCCGAGGGGGGATTGTCGCGCTGGTGCATGTTGGGCTGGTCGCTAAAAGCCGCCAGACTAAAGTAGCCTGGCTGCCTGGAGGGACACAGCTGGCCTCAGGGCCCTGCAGACCTGAAAGACCCTGACCGTGGAGGCCCGGCTTGATCTTTCTTCTTCCTTTTCTTTGTCTGGTGAAGGACCCTGCGCAGCGGACGATCTACGACCTGTTTCAGAGGTCCTTCGAGGACGATGGAAGCGACCTGGAGCTCCTGGAGGCCCTGGAGACCTTTGACCCAGGAAGTGCTTCCGGCAGCCAGGACGCGGGGGAACCCCAGGACCAGAGCACACCCACCGCCAGTCCGCCCAAGAAAAGAAGATTCGAGTTTTTTGATAACTGGGACAGCTTTACCTCTCCCCTGTAAGAGGGTCAAGTCAGCTTTTTTAAATTGCGGAATTCATTAAAATAAAATAAGGCGTTGTTTCTTTTTCCAAGCCTGTCATTGCTGGAGCGCCTTTCTCTGTCTCCAAGCTGGGAGGGCTGACGGACGAGTGTCAGTACTTCATCCCCTCTCTTGGGTCTTTGCGAACCTTAGCTTGTCCGTCCGGGACAGGGGGACAGTGGTCATTCAGGATTCCTCAAATAACAAGATCGCCCTGCATCTGAATCGAGCTGATGGCAACAGGTGTGGTTTTGTAAAGAACAAGATGCTTGCTCCATTGTCCTAAATCTGGATGTTTCAAATGCATTTATCCACATACTTACATTGCTCCTACTTTGTGCCAGGCTCTGTTGTAGGGTCTGTGCCTTTGTGGAGTTGGTGGGAGAGGGAGAGAGGCAGCCGATGACCAGTCCAGTGGAGAAAAGAGCGAGGCAAATAAAGGCTTAGAGCAGGGCTTGGCAAATTTTCTCCCTAAATAGGCATATAAAATCAAACTCACTGCCATTGTGTCCTTTCCATCGCAAAGCGACTCTGTTGGACAGGGCAGAAGTGCCCCTGTGGGCTTCTGAGACTAAATCTTAACGGGAGGAGAAAGCCTCTTCTTCTCCCAGGAGGCAATTAGTGGCTTTAAACTGCTGACTGTGTGGTTAGCAGCCCAATCTGTAACCCATCACAAGTCCAAAACCAAGCTCACTGCCGTCAACATCGACTGCAATTCACAATGAGCCACTAGGATGGCATAGAACTATCCTTGTGGAACAGAAAGTCTCATCTTTCTCCCGCAGAGCATTTAGTGGTTTCAAACTACTGACCTTGTGGTTAGTGGTCCAGCCTGTGCCCACTACTGTAACTAGGCACATAGTACATAGCTTCAGCTCCATGAGCATCTTCTGCACAACTGCTCAACGCTGCCGGGTTAGAACGAAGGCACCCGGACCTGGCCAGGCCAGTCTCCAGAAAGACGCGGCTGCTGCTTGTTCAGCCCCGTCAGCAGTCAGAGGAGTGTGGGTGCAACTTCACAGGTGCCACGGGGCTCTGGTCAAGTTCTTGGGTCTCTTGGGATCTCACTCCCACTTCAGTGAGCTATGCCTGCTTCCTCCAAGGATGTGGTTAGGCAGCAATGATAAGCTAAGAGTGCTTTGTAAGGAAAAGTGCGGTATGTCCATGCTTATGGAAACATACGAGCACTGGAATATCACTTTACCCCAGCAAGTCCCTCCCGTAGTCCCAGGAGCCCTGCTGATGCAGTGGTTAAAGCACTCAACTACGAAGCATGAAAGGCCTGTAGACCAAACCCATCAGCTGCTCAGTGGGAGGAGAGAGGGGTGGCAGTCTGCTTCCACAGAGACATGGCCCAGGAAACCCTGTGGGGCCATTCTACTCTGTCCTGGAGGGTCACTCTGGGTCAGAATCCACCTGATGGCCCCGGGTTTGGTGTAGTAGGTTTCACTGTCATCTGCCCGGTGCCTGCCTCAAAGAGTGGCCCATAGGCTGGAGTAAGGTATCCCTGCTGGGCTTGCCCTTGTTCCTGGACATAGATGGCATTTCTAGCAGAAGCCAGTCTTCATGTGCTCAGGGTGCCCTGCCGTGCCTTCATGGGAGGCCTCAAGTTTGCACGTCAGTGTCAGCTGCTTTGGAGAAAAACTTCCCTTTCTCCATGCCATGCCCCTGGGGCCCTCCAGGGCAAGTGGTATTGATCCACAGAGGCCACATGTAATAGCTGCATGGTCATTGGCCCCAACTCGTGGCCTCCGTGTGCATGAATGGAGCAAAATGCTGCCTGTGCCTGCACCATGCGCATGATCTGTTGCCGATTGGGCCGTTGGGCCTTAGACCAGTCCAGTGAAGAAGGAGAGACAACGTTCCTTAGACTCGAGGATGGCGGAACTTCGTCCACCAACTCTGGCCATGCTATCGGAGAGACTAGCCCTCAGAGAAGGGCCTCGTGCTTGGTAACGTGAAAAAGAGTGACTCTCAATGGGTGGACTGACATAACAGACCCAGACTAACAACGATCGTGAGGCTGGCACAGGACCAGCCGGTGTTTCCTTCTGTGACAGTGTCGCTGTGAGTCAGAATTGACCCCGTGGGCACCGAGCTACAACATCCCAGTGTCCATCTGTAGTCAGTGAGTCCCAATGAGCCATTCCCGAATCATCCAGTAAGATGTCTGGATTTACTCAGACAGAGGGTGAGGCTGGCAATCGGAATTTGCCCATTCCTCGGGGAGAAGACCTAGTCTTTGTTTCTCTGAAGATGGTAGCCTGGAACACCCTATGAGCATTTGCCCAGGGAGACATCTGAGAAGGCAGGAAGAGGTAGGCATGAAGGATGAATGGAAGCAGGAAACCAGGAGGAAGCGGGGAGAAGGCTGTTACACTGTGGGGATTTCCATCAACGTCCTGAGAAAAACAACAATGGGTATGAACCATTTAAGGGAAAAGTCATTTTATCCTCCGGAACATGGGAGGTTTTTGTTTCGCTTTCTTTTGTAAGTGCTTATGATAAAGGCTTTAAAATGGGGCAGTTCTTTTGCCACAAGAGGTTGCTCTGAGTTGAAGTCGACTTGGTGCCTAACAACAGCCTCGCAAACTGTATACAAGACACTCATATTCTGTGAAAGCCCCCACCTGTGGTAGGTTCTGTTATAGGCAACCAAGTGCCAATTGAACTCCGGCCTCGCAGAAGAGCTCTCACCTTAGCTGGGATGCTCAGTGGCTTGCTGCTATGTGTGTGTCATCATCCTGCATGATTGGACGTGATATAATTACCATCCGTGGTAGGCTGGGTTCTTGACACAAGGAAAACCAGTGACGCGTGCATAAGAAAGATTTACATCAAGAGCGAGCAGCCCACGTGACTGCACATTAGGAAAGCCAGGTCTGGCTCAAGGCCGGAGGTCTGTTTGGGATGCTGCTGGTACTTCCGGTTCCCCTTTCCGAAGTACGTATTATATTCTTGACTCAACAGCTTAAAGAACCCCTCTATGGAAAGAACGTTAACGTCTTCCTTTCTTTTTGAAAAGGAAAGGGGGAAACAAAAACGCATTTGAGTGTTCCTGAAGCGCAGGAGTGACTCAGCAGAGATTTTATTGAGATTTTTATGTGAACGCGTTAAAGTTCTCTATACCTAATGCATCCCTAATGGGGATGGAGACGTATTAGCTAGCCCACAGGGAAGACAAATTGAGATTTTTATGAGAGGCGCCATTCTCCAAAGCCACTAGGGACTGATTGCCTGAGTGCTATTTGTACAATCTCAAGCTTGCTGTTGAAAGAGAATTGTTCAGTTTCGACAAAATTGCTCTGAACATGAACAGTGTTCTCCATTGTGGAGTGCCTCGTTTTCAGCCACTCCATAGCACCCGCACCGTGCACTCATTGACTCTCCAACCTTCTGAAGGCCTGAGACAGCGGCTCTGCCGAGCATAGTGGGGGTGCAGGGGTTGGGATGGGAGAAGCGGTAGAGTTACTAAATAATGATCTGAATTTGGCTGCAAAAGCAGCAGCAAAGTGCTCCCAGGAGGCCCCAGTGCAAGTCTGGCCATTCCTCTCCACTCCCCAGGTCATCTGTCCACATGCCTTCAAAGTGACAGGAAGGGCATAGCAAGCCATTGTTTCCTCCCATTCCTCCCATTTGTTTGCACCAGTAAGAATGTGGTTTGGGTATAGTGTATCATTTTCTAAAACAGGACTTAGCTTAGTGGAGAGATTTCCAGAAATTACCCCCCAGATGCAGTGAATTTTCCTCACATAGGACTCTCAGTGACCTGCTGCCACTCTCCCACCCCTGAACAGTCAGGGCCAGTAGCCAAGGCAGCTTCAATGTGGCCAAGATGGGGGGATGAAGGAGAAAATGAGATGACCAGAGTTTTAAGGGACAGCGAAAACAGATCTGCTGTACTTCCCTGAATAAAAATCTACATCGAGACATTGGCATCAGGTAGCGTTATCATGTCCAGATGATTTCAATGATACAAATG